CAGGGAACTCTGAGCCACTAAGATCAGACACAGTGATTGCCCAGAGACTTAGCTATACCACTCTCCCTCTCATGGAGTCACAGTATTCCCACAGTCATAACACACAAGGCTCCTACTGTCACAAGGTACAGGGTCCACTCTCAGCCCCACATGCCTGCCCTATCCACAGAGTGAGCAGAGGCCTTTCCAGAGGCAGCTGCCTGTGGGTGCTCCACCTTGGTATTTTGAGCTGCAGAGCCAGTGGTAAGGTGGAGAGATGGAAGCGTCTCACAGTCCTGAGTGCCCAACCCTCTGCCAGTCCTCCAGGCCAGACTCAAAGTCAGTGAGAAATGTGGAATTTCTCTCTGATAAAATCCTCTAGTTGTGTGCAAAAGAGCTGCCACAGTCTCTACTAGATTTAAGATGATACTTTCTCCCTGTTTGTTGACGGATGCCCTTGTGGGAGGACGAAGAGAAAGAAATATGCTTGTCTTTCCTGGTGCCCTTCTAGGGATCCAGGCCAGCCTCAAAGTCAGTGTGGTCTGCAGGTACTCCGTCAGGCAATATCACCAGTAACAGGGGCTGCTGCAGTTTGCTCTCACCCATTCTCAAAAGCTGGCATCTCCTGCAGCCCCCAGCTTTGGGAGTCATGGATGGTGCTCCCACACACTATTGCATGTATATACTGTCCATACTACTGCACAGCATCTCTCTTCTTTCTGTAGAATTTCCACTGCAACCTTCTCTCTAACTCTTCCCTAGGAGTGTACTTCCTCTGCTTTATTTCTGTTATCTTCCCCTGGTCAAAATCAGTACGTCTTTTCACTATTCAGCCATCTTGGATTCCTGTATCCCAATGCTTTTATACAAAGTGCTTTAATTTTAATTTGTCTCAAGACAGTTTTTAATTTCAATTTCAATTTTTTCAATGTTGTCTTTGGTTGGGAGACAGTGAAGTGAAGTCTTTTCACTGTGTGTATTTGTCAGAAACCCAGGAGAAAACAAATTACAAATTTTAATAAAGATAAACTGATATATATATGTATAATAAAGAAATATTGACAATAGTGTGGGAAGGGTGTAGGGAAACCAAAAGGAATAGGTCAATATACCATGACTGATAATAATGTAACTCTAACATCTAAATCTAGAGATTTGAGGGATGGCACAGTCAACAGAAACTGGATAAGAAAGTATTGCATAAGATAGCAGCTGGAAAGGAGAAATGGCTATCTGTTAAGGGACATAGGTGACTGAGGATGACTTCACAGAGAAGGTTCTAGACAAATAGGTATTATATTTCTAAAGCCTCTTCTTTAAGACCCTTCTAGAACTAACTGGAACCTAGAGGTTAAGAAAGCCTTCCTAGGTAATTCACCAGTGTGAGACTCCAAGGACATAAAACAGAGTGAAACAGGTGACACAGAGCGTATAGATGTTCTAGATCTGCATAAGCCAAGTCATATAAACCACTTCTATTTGATAGTAGAATGCCACTGTGCATGTAGTTTTATGTTTTAGTAGATTAGATAATACCCAGTTCATGAGAGTACGTTGTTACTTGGTGTTCTCTGGTCAGTTGTTCTCTTTGTACCAAATCCCAGTAGCAATCTAGGAGCCTCTTTTCTTTTCTCTTTTTTTTTTAAGATTTTATTTATTTATTTCAGAGGTGAACTTACAGACAGAGAGAAGGGTCTTCTATCCTCTGGATCACACCACAGATGGCTGCAGAAACCAGGAGCTTCTTCCAGGTCTCCCACACAGGTGCAAGGGCCCAAGTACTTGGGCCATCTTCCACTACTTTCCAGGCCATGGCAGAGACCTGGCTAGGAGGAGGAGCAGCAGGGACATAAACCACTGTGCATATTAGATGCCAGAGCCCTAGGCAGAGGCTTAGCCTACTAAGCCACAGGGCCAACCCCAGAGCCTCCTTTCAAATGGAGAATGGTTATTAGCCAAAGAAAATGGAACTTCAATGTAATACCCGAAAGGCATGTACCCTTATTCTCTTTCAGCACTTTCTGATGAGTTTATTCAGCATACACTTTGTCTCATTTTTTTTAACTTTTATTTAATGAATATAAATTTCCAAAGTACAGCTTATAGATTACAATGGTTTTCCCCCCCATAACTTCCCTCCCACCCGCAACCCTACCCTTTCCCGCTCCCTCTCCCCTTCCATTCATATCAAGATTCATTTTCAATTCTCTTCATATACAGAAGATCAGTTTAGTATATATTAAGTAAAGATTTCTGTCTCATATATTTTCAATAACATTACATATGTTAAGGAGTAAGTTGTTAGGCAGAACACACCATGGCCCAGAAATGGTACAAGGCCCTTTTCTTCTCCACATTGCATTCAAAACTAGAAACCTTGCTAGATACACAGAAAATGGGTTGATAAACAAATCCAAACATATTATACATCGGCTCCAAAATCCAGAGATCCACAAAGGAGAGTGCAAGGTGCTATGAAGTACAGAAGAGGTCTACGGCATTAGACTCTACCTATATAAAGGGTAATATGACATGGCCCAGAATACCCGAAGAGCCTCACCAATATGAAAGGAATATTGCTGACCTTCTAGCACTGATGTTTTACTGAGATTTCTTAGGTATTTGCTACTTATTCTTGCTGGATCCAATCAACATACTGTCACAAGTATAATAAACTTTCCTAATATTCTGCAGGTTGCTGAGGTAACCAAGGACCTTCTGCATTCCATTGCAAGATTTAGAGAGAACATAAAATTTAAAAACATCCTTGAGCAAGTCAGTAAAATTGTACTGTTGTCTCTGCCGTGTAAATTCAAATTGCTTCTGATTTTATTTATTGATGGGAAATAACTAGAGAACATTTGCCTGGCCAATAGCTATATATCAAGTTCCAAGGATTGTGTTAATTTGTTCCAGCAAAGACATCACATTTGGACTCTAAACTATGATCCACATGGTTATCTTATCTTATGTATCGTGATCTATTCTGGTTTTCAATGGACCACCTGAATTATGAGACAAATTTTCAGTTAATGTTCAAACAATTGAATTAAACATAGGTAGGATATGGTAGGAATCACTTCTATATTTCTTAAGTCTTTGATGATACACCTCATCCCTTTTATTTCTACAAAGATAAAGAATTCTTTCTATATAATATTTTGGTGAGGACTGTTAGAAACAGTTGGTTCCTTCAACTTTGTTATCCCTGTTATATTAACCTTCACTGTTGTGATTCTGACAGAATATTCCCACCATATATTCCGAGACTGGGAATGATAATAGGACAGTTCTATAGTCTGTCTAAGAAATACTTATACTGTGAGATGGAATAAAGCCAAAATTTTATCACTTGACCTACATAGAGCTCCTTCTGGATCTAGTAGCTTAAAATTACATTTGAGTTTTTTCATTATCATCAAAATTCAAAGTCACTGTCAAGTAAGTCCTAGAAATTATAAGCTATTCCTGTTATCTAGTGCCCAGTCTCTTAGGGTGATGTCTGAGGTCCCAAGGGGAAATTTGGGGGAAAGATTCATAGTGCATACCTGTGGCTTATTGATGAGTTCTTTCCTCATTGTATTTATTTATTTATTTTTGCTGCTCGTCACGGGGCAGCAGGTCCGATAGAGCTCCTCAGGGCCAGCCTGGGGAGCTCAGGGGCTGAGCAGGATGATGAGTGTCGGCGACAGAGGAACCACACCAGAGCCGGGAGATCAGTCAACGCCCATGGCACAGCAGGGTTCTCGATTTTATTGGGAGGGGAAGAGCTTTTATAGACACAGAAAGGGGGCTGTCCAGGGCACAAGGGGACCGAGCCAGCCAGCTGAAAGGTAAGGCAGGACACGAGCCAGGCACGCCCTCAAGGGCCAATCACAACCGAGGACTCATACTGTTCACAAGTACGGAAGTCTCCTGTCAGGCTAGGTACCTCCCCCAGGGGCCATGTTGGATTGTTGGAAACGCTGAGTCACTAGGATGCGGAAATGTGGCAAACTCAAGCAAAGGCTTAGCAGCCTTTTTGAGTGAAGGCTTAGCAACTTTGTTTCCTTTTCGATTGGAGCCCCCTACATATTTTATTTATTTGAAAGACAGAGTTACATAGAGAGATAGAGACAGAGAGAGAGAGAGATGTCTTCCATCGGATGGTTCACTCCCCAGATGGCTGCAATGGCCATATGAAGATGGCGCCAATCTGAAGCCAGGAGCCCGGAGCCAGGAGCTTCTTCTGGGTCTCCCACGTGGGTGCAGGGGCCCAAGGACTTTGGCCATCTTCTACTGCTATCCCAGGCCATAGCAGAGAGCTGGATTGGAAGAGGAGCAGCCGGGACTAGAACCAGTGCCCATATAGGATGCCAGTGCTTCAGGCCAGGGCTTTAACCTACTGTGCCACAGTGCCAGCCCCCTCTTCATTGTATTTTAATTTCTCTCAATGAAATCTGTTTGGAGATGCAAAAATGGCACAATTACAGAAACAGGATATAAAACTACATAATATAATCCTCCTGCAATAAAGTCAGTTATGGTTCGTCTCAGCAGAGCTAGAAAGTCTTAAGATATATAGTATATGTTCTTTGATGCACAAAATGATCGATGAGCTCAGGCCACATATCTCTGTGTCAAAACACTTGTAAATTTCATTTCTAAGGCTTATTGTGTTAATGGGCTATGATTATTAAGCACTTATATATGGCATCACACATTCTGTGAACCATATATGTGCAGAGAAATCAAGAAACATAATGCCAATGGTGCGTTGTTACTTTTGTCCCTGGCCTCTTGAGACTAGTCACCACAGAGCACTCCAAGATTCTTGGTATCCTCAGAACCAATATTTTTTTTAATATTTGGCAAAAAAACAGAGTCCTCCATACCCTCACAGGAGTTACAGCTGAAGGAGTAAGCAAATAATGAAGGATAGAATTAAAAGGGAGAGAATGATCCTGCGGGGGAAACAGGACACACAGTAGACTCTTAGAATGGCAGCACTCCTGCCTCAGAATCAACCCTTGGGACATTCGGATCTGGCTAAAAGATCCATGAGAGTCTCACAGGCATGGAAAGCCATGACACAGTGGCAAAAAACAATCTAAATGAAAGATCCTGGTGAACAAGACCCCAGCAGAAGGAACAGGCCATCAAGGAGAGAGGTGCCTTTCTCTGAAGGGAGGAAGGAACCTCCACTGTGATATACGGCCTTGACTAAACAAGTTCAGAGTCGGTGAACTCAAGGGGCTTCCATAGCCTAGACAGCTCATAGCAAGAGTCTCGGGTGATTGCTGACATCATAAATAAGAGTGCCAATTGTTAAATCAACAATGGGAGTCACTGGGTACATGGTCCCCATGTAGGATCTCTGTCCTTAATGTGTTCTGCTATGAAACTTAAAAACAACACTACTAGTCGAACAATACCCTATACCTTGTGCGGTTGTGTGAGTGCAGCCTGTTGAAATCCTTGCTTAGTATATACTAAGTTGATCTTCAGTGTATGAAGGTAATTGAAAATGAAACTCGATGAAGGGCGGGATGGGAGAGGGAGTGGGAGAGGGGAGGGCCACGGGAGGGAGGGAGGTTGGTGGGGGGAAGCCACAATACAAAAGCCGCACTTTGTAAATTCACATTTATTAAATAAAAAAAAACTATATAACAAACAAAAAAAGAACTTAATACTTTACCCTTTTAGTATTTTTTATGTTCTACTTAAAACTATTGGTTGAACTCTGTAATTAATACACAATTACTCTTAGGTGTTTAATTAATGCTATAACTAGTACTCAAATAGTATTTTACACTTTGTGTTTCTGTGTGGGTGCAAACTGTTGAAATCTTTACTTAATATATGCTAAATTGATCTTCTGTATATAAAGATAATTGAAAATTAATCTTGATGTGAATGGAAGGGGAGAGGGAGTGGGAGAGGGGATTGTTGTGGGTGGGAGGGCAGTTATGGTGGGGGAAGCTATTATAATCCATAAGCTGTACTTTGGAAATTTATGTTCATTAAATAAAAAAAAGAATGAAAAAACAAATAAGAAATGAATAAATGAGATCATTAGAAATAGTATATTTAGCGACAGATATGGCTAAGAACTTTCAGCAATGAACAGTCATTCATTAGACACCCCAAGATAGCAAGAACTTAACAATATCCATTCAACCTTTGAACAATTCAGGATTGGAAAGTTACTGTTTTTCTTTTTTGGTTATGATTGGTTTGGTTTATTCTTTAATAAATGTTTCTGTCCATTGTTTTCTCCACTTGATTTTTGTCTTACCTCTAGAACCAAGCAAATCTTTTTCACTGAACAAAAAAGACTGTAGAAATTAGAATTATCCAATAATAAAAAAAGTTAATTCATGAAGTAATATGCTTCCATTCCTAGAGCATCACAGGGAGAAAAGAAGTTATTTTTCACAATCTTATGGAAGTTCCTATGCATTAAATGATTTCCCAAGAAAAGTCTGGGATTGTGTTTCTCACTATTCAAGTAATATCCAAATTCCTGACATTATTTCCTGGGGAAAGCATATCCCATGAACAGAGCCCCTCCAGTCTGCTTCCTGCATCTACTCTGGCAGCTGTAGCTAGATGTTGCAGAAATGGCAATAGCTGGCAGTGCAGGAACAAGGGAGAGCCTTGGTGCGTGGTATCAAAACCCCTTGCCCAACCAAGAACCTAATCAGTTTCTATGTATATCAGACCAGGCACTCGGAGATTTCCAGTTGTGCTGTCCAGCGTAGTCACTGGCCTCACACACGGCTATTAACCTTTCAAACTGTAGCTAATTAGAATTGAAATGCATAAAGTACATACTGGATTTCAGACTTAGTATGTATATAGTGTATAGAATGTGAAGTAAGTCATAATCTTTATGATTGATTTTATAAGGACTGATTGCATGTTGAAATGATAATACTTTGAATAGCCAGGGTAAACAAAATATATTATAGATTTAATTTCATGTTTCTTTTCGCTTTTTGATGTAAATACTAGAAATTTTATACTGTATGTGCAACACATGCATTGCCACAGAAGCTAAGGTAGTGCTCACAACTTGGTACACTGGGAGATAAATACTGATTGTGGAACTGTTTTGCTTGTCTCTTACACCACAAGGATACTTCAAAAGTTTCATGGAAAATGGTATTAAAAGATAAACCTATTTCTGTGCAAAAAAAAAAAAAAAAAAAAACAAACAAACAAAAAAAAACACCTTTTGAAATCCATTCACTCAAGGAGTACACAAAAACTTAATAATGCTTACTATATAAAACTTCCACTTTTCCCAATTTTTTGGACCAAAACTCATCTTTAAATTCCATTTTCCATGAACTTTTGAAGTACCCTTATATAACTAGAATATAAATTTGGTTGCCAACCTTGAAAAGTCATCAATATTTTCATACAGTTGAGTTTTTTAATGAATTTTAGTTTTTCTTGGAAATCCAGGAGATTGGGTAAGCCTTGGGCTGCTTTGTTACATTACATCAATTTCTAGAGCAGAAGAGCTGCTGATTATTTTTTTAACCAGGCTTTCCACTTGACCTCTCAGTTCACAACATTCTTCGTTGTTTCGTCTTAACTCCCTTCAACATCAGTTGTGCTTGTTACCTACCTAATCACTATAGGCTTTTGAGTTTTAAGCTCTTTAAGATCAATATTTTAGTATTTAGAGGATTGTTGCTATGTTTGGGAAATAGAAAAATAGCTTTTGATGGTATATTATCCTATCATTTACATGTGGAGAAATGACCTGTAGGAATAATTGTTGCCAATTAAATCAGTTGAATGAATGAGATATGGGTTCAGCAGAGGATTACTTTCAAAATGCCTATGAGGATCCCACATCCTGAGATCAATAGAGAGTAGTAATACATGTGTATAATAGAAAAGAATTCAACAGTAAGTGGTTTGTTGATTCTTCTTGAAGAGAAACCAAATGGCAGTCATCCAAGCTTTAGAAACAAAAGTCAAAGGAAGCTACAAACCATAACAAACAAGGAAACCTTAAGGAGGTGGTGCCTCAAATCAGAGAAGTCCTCATTCCCCTTTGATAATCAGTTTATACGATGGCCACCAGGGAGACCTATGACTTCCAAACATGTCGACATTTACGATTGCCTTGTAGTCAAGATGGCCTGATAATGGTCCCTTATACACTCAGTCCTTCCCAGAAATTCGATTTCTCCTTCATTACCATTTGTCCATTTACAGAACTGGTCTTTCAAAAGAGGCACAATTGCACATTGTTTTCTAACTCAACACTCTTCCTGACAGAATTATTGAGGAAGCATAATGCAAATCTATTGTTTACTAAGGCCATAAAACCATCTGGTCCTAGAAGTTCATTTTCCATAGCTGACTTCTGGAAATCAGCATGAGTTTAAATTCCTCTGTGCTTCCTATTCTAGCTGCCAAGCTACTGTTGACAAACACAAGGTGTTTTAAGTTTCTTGTTTTTTGATGGGCTTTCCATCCTGATCTTTGCTTTGTGAAACTGTTCTACTTTAAGGTCATCTTTTCTGCAGCATTTCCATGTCCTAGTCAGTTGCCCTATTTTCACTTAGAGTTCTTTGAAAACCTTCTGCCTAGTTCCAAACCTAGTCAAATATTTATACGTATATCTGAGATACAAAGCACATTTGTAGGAAGTCATAAAAATGTCCTTAGTAATAAAACTTGAGGACCTGGCCATAACATTTAGATGGTAGCATCTGGGTTTACAAAATCAGTTTTTGGTCCTTCTCATTTAGCCACATTTTGAATTATAAACACTAGGAAATCTAAGATTTTGTTGCCATTGAATAGATTGAAAAATGAATTTAATTTTTTTAAAAGACTTATTTATTTATTTGAAAGGCAGAGTTACAACGAGGCAGAAGCAGAGAGAGAGAGGTCTTCTTTTTGCTGGTTCACTCCCCCAAAATGGCCACAATGCTGGGGCTGGGCCAATCCGAAGCCAAGAGCCTGGAGTTTCTTCCAGGACTCCCACATGAGTGCAGGGGCTCAAGGACTTGGGCCATCTTCTATTGCTTTCCCAGGCCATAGCAGAGAGCTAGATCGGAAGTGGAGCGGCCAGGATTCAAACTGGCGCCCACATGGGATGCCAGCACAGCAGGCAACGGCTTTACCTGCTATGCCACAGCACTGGCTTTGGATTTAATTTTTAATATCATTACAAAGTGACTTCAACAAATTGTGAGAAAGCAGAATTAAAAGATTATTTTATTTTTGGTACAATAAATTATGAAATCCATATTGCTTTTTTTAAAATGCACATTCCATAAACATTTTGAAGCCTCTACATATGTAAAATTATGCTCCTTAATTCTCATTTTCTAAAAGAATTTTGGATATTTCTTTTAACATATCACAACCATCTCTCCAAATCATAGCAATTTCTGCACTTACATGGAATCATATTTCTCCCTGCAGAGTTTCTCCAGCATGAGCTCTGGAGGCTGAAGTACATCATAATATAGAAGGTGAGTGATGTCTCTTCTCATGCACTACATATCTTAATTAAGGGTAGCAGTCACTTTGGAGCAGTTGGAAACATACTCTTGCCATCTCTATGAACGTGAGCAGGAAACCACAAGGAAGTTCTCTTGTTCCAGTGATGCATACAAGTAAAGAGGCACATAATACAATATTTATTTTCTACAACACACAAAGTGTTATTGATGCCAAAAGTTTCTTAAGATTCTTGTTGGAGTCACTGCTTGGTCCAAGAACTGTTAGAACAGCTTGAAACTTCTGTTTGTTCAGATAGCTGCAAGTTAAAGGCAACCTGAGAAGAAATTCTGATGGTTTCTTAAGATAAGAAAGGACAGATCATTTTTTAACATAGCACAACATAGCATGAGCAACTTGTTTGGTTACATTTTCATGCTTCTCCCTTGTTTAACCAGTTTGGCTAAATGAGCTAGGTTATTTGAAATCTCTAGGGTCTAATATTTCCCTAATTAAGTGAATTCTAAGAAGCATTGGTGGAAAAAAAAAGGAATATAAGAAGAATTCAAAGGAGATGTGAAAGTTGGGTAGCACCAGAGTTCTGGGGGTTGCCATCAGCTAAAAATAGAACTGGTGGGAGGAGGATGTGGCTCCTTACTCAAAGACTTATAGCACTTTCTGGCAGCCACATCCTGCCTGTGGCTAGGTCAACCCAAGTGTCACATCTTCTTGTTTCCTTGAATGATAAAACATCATCTGCAATTGAAGAAGGGAATTCTCTGCCATAAGCTAATGTCATTAGGAAAGGTTCATGAACATTAGGGTTACAGGAAACCTAAGGCTTTGAACTTTGCAAACATCACATTAAGTATGCATGAGAAATGTTTGTGGCCAAAATATTTACTGATAAAAAAGTGCCATAATTTGAAAAGAATCTGGAAAACAACCATAAAAATACAAAGAAGAAATAATTCAAAATTACCAGCTCCAAGCATGAGTGTTGTGGTATAGCCAGTAAAACCACTGCTTGAGATACCCACATCTGAAATCAGAGTGCCAGTCAGAGTCCTGGCCACCTCCACTTCCAATCCAACTCCCTGCTAATGTGCCTGGGAATGTGGCTAGTGATGGCCCAAGAATTTGGGCCTCTGCACCCATGTGGTAGACACAGATGCAATTCCAGGTTCCTGGCTGTGCCCTGGCAGAGCCCTGACTGTTGCTGACATTTGGGAGTGAACCAGCAGATAGAAGCCCCCTCTGTCTCTCTTGTTATCTGTGTCTTTCTTTCTCCCTCTCTGTCATTTTGCCTTTCAAATAAATAAATCTTCTCTTAAAATTACTTCCTCTGATATATTGAGAATAGTATTTTTTCTGTGAGCACATAAATATGTACACATATGAGTACATACATACACATACAGAGGAATGATTTCACAAATATATGATAGCACTGATGTATTTACCAAATGGAAAGCATACCCATGATAATTTTCACAGGATGGGTTTCTATGATGGAAATAACTGGCTAAAAAGTGTTACAAAATTTTTAGAGACTTAAAGAAAGACACAGAGAGACAGCAAGAGAGATAGAGGGGGCTTCTATCTGCTGGTTCACTCCCAAATGTCAGCAACAGTCAGGGCTCGGCCAGGACACAGCCAGCAGCCTGGAATTCCATCTGTGTCTCCCACATGGGTGGCAGAGGCCCAAGTGGAGCCAAACTACTTGCCCCAATTTATACTAAGTGTGAATTTCTACAAAATCTTCTCTTGCTTGGTGCATTTTATATGTGCTAATTTTTAACACAATGCATCTTATTTCAATTTACATTTCTTTGATAACTGGTAAAGTGAAATATTTCTTAATATTTTAATATCTATTTGAAAAAACCTATCAACAAATTTGTGACTATTCTCTTCAAGCTCCTGAGGACTTATGATTTTTATTTATGTGCTTCTAAGAACCCTTTATACTTTCAGGCTATGACCACTAGTATGTCACATTTGCTGTAGAAACTTTCTCTCTTAATTGTTTTTACTAATTTGCTGTTTTAGACAAAATGGTTTTTTTTTTGTTTTTTCCCTATTTTTACATAGCTAAATCATTTTTCTTTGTGGATTATTTTTTCTTGGGAAAAAGAAATCCTACAACAAATATTTTTTCAAATACTTCCTTTTTATGATTTTTTATGCTTGCTTTGTGCCAACCATGTGGGCCTTCTTGCCCCTCCCTCCACCCCTGCTTCTTTCCCTCCTCCTTTTCTCCCTCTCCACTCCTCTTTCTTTTCCTTCCTTCCTTCCTTTCTTTCTTTCTTTCTTTCTTTCTTTCTTTCTTTCTTTCTTTCTTTCTTTCTTTCTTTCTTTCTTTTTCTTTCTTTCTTGTTTTGCACAGTGTGAAATTATGAGGGCCAAGTAGTTAATTAATTCCACAGCATCCTTTACTAAGTGACCATTCCTTTTTCCTGTTACAGTGCAATGCGTGATCACATTTAAAAGTTAATTTGCAAGCTGGAAAATTAGTCCTTAGTTGGTATTTGTAGGCAATGTAACTGACATAAGTATAGTTTTGAGTAAAGGAATAAAAGAAATACATATGTAAGACAAGTACTGAGAAAACAGGAATTAGTCCATGGTAAAGCAATGTTACCTCTAATTTCAGAATGCATGTTGGCTTCTGTTTAGATTTCTAATCAATTTTTTACAAGGTGTCCTTGTTTTACTCATAGCCTTAAAGATAATGTTCTCACAGAAACAAAGCAAAACAAAAAGTCCCCATTGTTTTTGGCAAATATTGAGAGTTGAGCATGTTTTCTGGTATTTGGGGAAAATGGGATTGTTGTTGAAATATCCAATGCATTGTTTCACAAAGTTGATATTCCCATTGTCTGATAGGACTTTTTCAGTTTTTGTCATTCGGTATGCCATATACCAGCTTTTCTCAGTCTATCATATTATAGCCTTTCCACTCTCCCCAATACCCCAGAATATATCAGAGCAATACTATGCAGTGTAGAAGGTAAATAAACCCCTGACATTTGCTTTGATGAAGTCATTTTGTTTACAAATATAAAGACCTCTCTCCTAAGGAGCTCTTAATAATTCTTTAATTTTACTGTAATTCCCTTCATCTAAAGAATCTCAATTACAGTGCTACCAGAAAAATAATATTACAAAATGTACTCACTGAGGCTGCAACAATTATTCAGCACTTTTTCAGTTAGCTTGTACAATAAATATGATTACCTTTAAAACACTGAGGCTCAGTTGTTGTAAAGACAAAACAAGATTGCCAGAGCTTCAGGCTTCCAAGTGAAGTAATGATCAATTTCCAAGCCCTGATGAATGAATGCCAAAGAAGCAAAGTATTTTTCCACCTTCTTTTTTCCAAGAATTCACATCCTGTGAATTTTGAAATGGAGAACGTTATTAATAAAGACAAATAACGCATGCATAATTCAGTCAATTATATATTGAAAATACAGTTAGAAACAGCAGCTGAAACACATTTTCCCCAATAATTCTGGCAATATAGAGATTCATGAGTGTTAGTGTTCTGTGCAGACACTTCATCTCACATCTCTTGTCCATTTCTTTCCTTTTTTTACCTTCATACTGATAACACAATGCCTGACATTTTTTCCCCATTCACACAGCTACTGTTAACTGACATGAATCAAAGATTGTAAGTATACATACAATCTTTGCACTTCCTAATTCTGGTTTCATGATAGGTATCACTAATCAACCACAGTATTTTTCTCTTTGTATCTCCTATATGTGTCCTTTTTTAAAAATTTTTTTAACTTCTCAGAAGACAGAAAAATTAAGACAGAGCATTCCTCCCAAGTGTCCTCAATGGCCAGGGATGGGCCAGGCCAAAGCCAGGAGCTGGGAACTCAAATTCAAGTCTCCCACAAGGGTGTTAGGAACCCAATTACTTGATCATCTCCTGATGCTTCCCAGGATCCACATTAGTAGGGAATTGGAATCAAAAACCAGAGCCAGGGATTGAATACAGGTTGTTAGGTATGGGACATAGGTATCTTAATGGAGAAGCTGAACATTCTCCCCTGCTGTATGTGTCTTTCACTGGTGTTCCAAAGGCAAAAAGACAACTAAGCAGTTGAAAGATCACCAGAGGATGGCTGTAGGAAGTGACTTATGCATCATTTCCTTTCTCCTCTAAGTGGATAGAAGGAAGAAACAATGTCCACAAAGGTGTGGAAGACAAAGGAAGAACCCATTAGGCATCCTGTAAATATGTTCAGTCTATTGCAGGTTACCTGTTAACAGTCACTGAAATCATGAGGATTCCAGAAACCCTACTTACTGGTATTACAGCAGCAAGATGCTGTGTGCACATTTCTTCTGGATTAAATGAATCCCAAGTGAGGAATTCTCTCTTACAGAGGACTAGATTGACATGGCAGATTAAGACCTAAAAGGAAACCTGTTTACAATTCAAGGCACAGTTTTCCTCAACTCTTTCAATGATTATATCTATGTAATGTCTGCCATTGTATCTACTTGGGTATGTTTTTTTTTCATCACTTCCATCTTGTTTCTCCAAAGAGAATGCATACATCTACCATTAAACTCTGATAATAAACAGGAAAGCTTAGCACACACAATTTAGAACTACAAAATACATCTACTTGCTTCCTGAAAGTTTTAAAATAATAAGAAATAGTTTGGTCTATTACTAAAATTGATAAACCAACATTTTCTTCTGCTACATGAAATATTGTAACAAAAAGAATATGGGTGTGTGGCAGTTGCTCTTACACAGAGTCCTCAGTATTCCTGGCAGACATTCCTGCAGGGCTGGGATAGTGGAGGAATACAGTATCTTGAAGATTCCTAAGAGTTTTTGGTCATCTCCTTTGCTTGGCTAATCCGCACATTAGGCATAGCTAGAATCTTGCCAAGAGCTACATTTAGGTTTCCAGCTATCCTTCTGGGATTCTTTTCTCATTCAGTTTCATTCTGGTCTAAGAGCAAACATTGTTTGATTGCTACTTTTGAAATTTGCTAA